TAATATTGAATCAAGTGGGGTATTTCCTCCCGAAGTGTTAGTTACTGAAGCTGTGAAGATATTGGAAGACAAGTGCGATCGTGTTATTTCCGATCTTTCTTGATACTCTGTTTTTTATTTTATTTTTTTGTGTGTAGAAAGGAAATGAAGCAAGAGAGAACAGTAGAACACCAGATTAATTATACCATGTATGTTTATTGAGAGATCGTGAGTCCGCATCCCAATATGAGATGCAAAATTGATAATTTTTAGTAAGTTGGTCAGTTTTGTTTTTCAATCTTCTCTGTTGAGTTTATTCCAGCTGTGGTTGCTTGTTTTGTTAGAAACAAAGAATGAATTTACCGACTTTGGAAGGACATGGTGCAATGCAACAGCAGGGCTGCACTGCTAGCCTAGCCCTCATGAATCATGCGAGGTCTCTGTTAGTCATCGTATGTGGTTATGTTCTTGATAGTGTTCTGCAAAACGGGGAAATCAATAGAGAAAATTAAACTAATCTACCTGGGTTTATAGCCTCGTAATTTTTTTAAAACCGTTGAAAAAGAAATTGAGTCGATTTTTTTAATGCAATTATAATTGATTCAGATTATTTTCTTTTAGAAGGAGGCTTGAGAATACCATCGAGCAGATATCCTCATAGCTATGCTTTATGCATGACCCAAAAAAAAAGAGCCATGCTTTATGAAGTTTGTGAAAAGGATGATTATAGCAATAAGTGAGCTGCTGTGTACATGTCTGAGAAAGAGGTGAACCATCAAATTTATTTGATGGGTATGTTTTGTAAGACATTCCCAGACAGTTTCCTGTTTGGAGAGCACGATTAGCTGCCATTTTGTTCCATCTTCCAACTGTTTGCATTAATGACATGTTTCTTTGCTCTTCCCTTTTTTACTAAGCACACTAAAACACAAAATTTCAATGACCAAAGCCTTTTCAATTATCGATGTTTCTTTTGAGTGAAGTTCAAACTTCCTACACTTCCTTCACTCCCACCACACCATCATCTGTGCAATAGAGAAACGCAGCCACGAGCGACAGTTATACATTATCAAATCATAAAATGTCTGCATTTCCATGCTTTCTTTTCTTGCCTTTGGGGAGAGATTTCCATATTAGTACTATGCTCGAATATTGAAAATGCAGCTACCCTTTTCTTGTAATATTAATCGGTTTTTTTCTTTTCTTATTTAGGTGAGTTAACTTCAAACTCTGTCAAGGAACTTAGCAAAACATGGTATACATATACTATTCCTTTTGAGAGGGGATAAAAAATGACAAATGTTGAGGGAAGGGGGAATTGCATATACTTAGGGTTCAACCTAATTCCTTCTACCCTTGTGTCGTCTTGGTGCAACTACTTCCCATCCATCTTCTGCTTCGGCAGCCAGCTTGGGCTTTGGCTCACTGTCTGACATGCTTACAACATTTACATTTGAATGAGACTCCGGTGTGTCCACCATCATGTTTGAGGAATCATCATTTCCCATGCAATGATCTCTATCATCATTTTCTTCATCACTATCGTCGTCATCATTTGCAACCTGGCATGAGTAACAAACAGAATGAAGAGATAGCAGTAAGGCATATCATTTCAACTTATCATCCTCCCTCCGCCACTCACGGCTTTAAAGAACCCATATGAGCAAGAAAGGTTCTCCACCATTCTTGCGCAGGGTCAAAAAGATCTCTCACGAGAACATCCACAAGGAGTTCTTTTCAACACATGAAAAAAGTGTAAACGCATAGGAGAAACTTATGTTAATAATTAGTAAAAACTTTTAAGGTTGAGGGATTGAACTTACCTCTCTAACATGAGGAACAGCAACTCTTCGATGATTGGCTTCCCTTAGGCTTTCAATAGACTTGAAATTACAGTCTAAACATTCTTCATGCATAATCATTAACTTTTCAGCTACCTGTGTAAATCCAAAGAAAAAATACGTGAACATCATTAAGATAGAAGCCATAAGTAAAAACTGCATCCGTAATATCAACTAGTTTATAAAAACAATAATGAACGCATGAAATGATCCATGAATAGTCTATCTAATGAAACATGTGAGCAGTGTCTCTAATGACTGGAGATGCAGCTGAGAATCAGCTGCCAACTGAAATGTACTTGATGCTAAAAGATCTTATTTCTAAAAGTAAATTAGTCGGCCAGGTCGTCTGGGACACACCCATCGCAAACATTTGTAATGGTTGCCCACTTTGAGTCACACAATCTATGGAGCAAGCAATAAATTTTGAGTTTCCCACCAGAAGCATAGCATATTAAGTCTCTCGTATAATCTATGAAGATATTATTAAGTGTTGAAAAGCTTACCTCCTCAATGCTGCCATCCTCTGTCATAGTGTTGAGAGAAAGCATAGCTTCATTCAGCATATCTTCTAAATCATCTATGTAAAGAGGCTCTGAGGAGAACGAGCACACAGTTAGGAGAAAACCCACAGATGCAAAATTCACAACATTAGTTAATGATTTTGCTCGGTTAGAACAGAAATTCTCATTTTAACATCAAAGAAAATTAACAGTTCCGTTTATAATTTCCATATTGAAAAACTGCTACTAATTTTACTGAGTATAATTGTATCATGTTCCTAGTAATAATAGACCACCACATTTCCACAGACAGAAACAGTCCAAAAATAGGAGCTTTTCTCTAAGAGAAAGCAAACCTCACCAAATTGAATTAAAAACACTAAAAAATCTAAGCAAAAAGAAGATTCCAGCATAAAATTGGCAATTATGGTGATAAAGGTTCTTACTTTCGCAGATAAATTCCCAATAGAATCCTAATTCCATTCTCAGAAGCACAAGCATCACAAAATTCATTATACTGAAAGACCTCGATTAAATTCTAACAAATTTTAAAATACAAATTTTGGGATAAGAATACCCTAAAAAAGAAGCAGCATATCAAATTTCAAGCTCTTTTTCCAAAAAAAAAAAAAAACGAATATTTTTATGAGTCGAAGGAGTGGAGTTGAGTGAATTAAGTACCTTTGGAGTGATTGAACCAGGAGAAGATATCGGTGATGAGTTGCTCCGCTTTCCGGCGCGAGTCACGGCCACCCCACTCGTTCTCAACGGCCAATTGGAGCGCTGACCACCGAGACAGAACCAATCCTATGCCTTCCTGGAGTATGGACCCAGCCTCTGCCGATAGCTTTCTCTCAGCCTCCATTTTCAGCCTGTGTGTGGTAAAACCCTAACCCTAACCCTAAAAACTGACAAATGTGAGGTTTATAAAGAAGGGGTCTGTTTGTTTTGCTGGAATGTTATACTCTTCACTCGGATTTAGTAGTTCTTACTCTAGTTTTGAAATAGGTGGAGGATGAGTGATTTTTTATTAAGTATTTTATGTTAATAATTAGTTACATGCTTTTAATTTTGGGCGTTGGATTGCATTCATTATATGTGTTGATAGTCTCTTAGATGCAATTCAACGTTCGAGATTAAAAGTATGTAACCAATCCTTAACTTAAATACTTATTAAAAAATGCCTTGGTGAAGGAGATAGATAGGAGGAGTGGCCATTTTAAACCGGGTTTTTTTGTTTGATAAATTTAAAACTTTGCTTACAAAAACTTGATATAAAATATGACTTCCAATTAAACAAACTTTGGTAAGAAAATAGAGAGCTTGAGGTAAGCACTTGAAAATTCTAAATGCAATCTTACAACATTTATCAAAATATGGTCCGGGATTCTAAGTTGGAAATGCGCAAGAATACGGTTACATAAGTAAGACCTAGAAGTTCAAATCAGAATAATTAATGGAAAATGAAAAATGATCAAACCATGCATCATTTGGAGGCTCCAAAGAGGTGATTTGATGTTTCATTCGTCAACAATAAAGTTTTTTTTCACCACCATGTGTGATTTTTTTTATTTATGCTTTTGGTGGCTTGAGGTTTTTTCGGATTTTCTTTTTTCTTTTTTGTAGAGCTTGACTCATTCCTCTTCTTAAGGAGAAAGCTTCTATGTACAACATGCTCTCACAATCACCTTATCACCTTTACCTCATCACCTAATCAATAATGATATGTATGAAAGATGAGACATAATATATCGCCCTCTCATTATCAAATTTTTGTTTAGCAAGAATGGGAAAGAGAGTAACTTTCGAGAGAGCTTTTTTCTTTCCTTCTTGTACCCAACAAGTTTTTTAGTGGATCATGAGTTTTGTGATTGAGATTGAATGAGTTATTTTCCAATATAGTTTAAGATTTTTAAATCTAGACCCTTGTTTCATGGTCTAACTAAGAAAAAGTTGTAATGTTTTTAGAAGAAAAACTACCAATAAAAAGTATTGTTTATGTGCATAGAGAAGCACTGTCCAAAGAATTTGGTGAATTTATAGCCCACCTCTCCAAATTTCCAACATGACAATAATCAATCCCTGACCTCATCATCAACTGGCGTTCTCATGGACTATTAACCATTTGCCTGTCTCAAACAACCAAAACTACAAAAACAACTCATTTTAAAGTGGCAGAAGGGAAGGGAGAGGGGACATGCCTGGTTAATTGGTCATTTCCCAAAGTCTCAAAGCCTTAAAAAATAAAGAAATATTAAGCTCAAAACTCCCAAAGCATGAAGACAATAGGGTTTGTTTATCAGCAATTTTCTGTAATTGCCATGTTCATCAATGAATATCCCATATTGTCTCGACAAAAATAAAAAATAAACAAAAAAACTCCCAAAGCATGAGGGACAGGGTGGAGCCTTGGCCCATCATGCATATTGATTCAGACACTTGTATTTGGGACAAAATACATTGAAATAATTGAACCCAAAGAAAAAAGAAAAAGAAAAAAGAAGAAGAAGAAAATAATAATTAACAAAAAAAGCCTAACTTTAGCAGTTTGGCTTTGACCCCATTCTCTCTCTGTCAAAGACTCAAAGTCTGAATACATGGATGATGGTCATGGTACATGGTAGTAGCCCACAGGGACATGAGAGACACCCAACTCTTTCTCAGTCTTTCTAATCTAAAATTCACTGAAGGCTTTTTCTTTCTTTTTCTCTCTCTCTCTCTCTCTCTCCACACATTTTAGGAAAGGGAGCTCTCACACAACACATTGCCCTCCCTCTTTATCTCTCTCAACAGTTGTAGTGAGTGCTCTCTTTTCTTTCTTTCTTTTCCACTCTGCTAAAGCAAAACCAAAGCAAAGCCTATCAAGGGTCTGATTTTTGCGAGGACGCGCTCTCTCTCTCTCTCTCTCTCTCTCTCTGTCTCCCTCTCTCTCTCACAAGCCCAGGTACCTTTTTTGGGCTTCCTTTTCTATTCACTTTTAACTGGTCCTGTGATTTGCTTGGTGGTTTTTTGCTTCTCTATGCACTCTATCTTGTTTTTTAGCATCTGGGTCTCTGGTGGTCTTTTCTTTTGGATCCAAAGTGTTGGGTCCCTGTTTGAGATCTGTATGAATCTCTTTACTTTGGTTCTTATCTTTTGCTAAATGCTATTGTATGTATTGAGAGGCGCACAAAAACTACATTCAGTTGATTTTTTCTTAGTTCCCATGCCTCTTTGATCCATGGGATTTTTCTGTAGAAAGTTTGTGCTTTCATTGGAAAAGGATTGACATTTTGAGGTAGATTACTGTGACTCTTATCCTTGGATTTACTTTTGACCTATCCCTTGTTGGGTCTTTTAGATTATCTCATAGTTAGATACTTCTGGGTTGCATGCAACTCTGTGCTTTTATGCCCATTTCTTGATTTTCTCTATGCGGGTTGTTATTGTTTCTGTTAATTGTATGTGAAATATTAAACGATGATCTACTGGAACAAAAATTTTGCTTCTTTATGTTTTTTTATTTTAGTTCATTTATATGATGCTTGCATTTTGTGGGTTTTGTAGCTCACATATGGATCATGTTGATGCTGATGTCTCTCTTTATTTTTGGCTGAAATGTTGTCGCTAGATGTGTATAATTTTATAGTTTGACTGGAAAATGTTCCTTCTACTGTATTATTTCTATGTTGCATAGTGGTGAACTCTTTGTTTGTTTGTAGAAATTGTCTTGCAATTGATGGACGTGAAGATGAACATAAGTGGGAGTGTCAACGGAGGGGAACATTTGGTGAGTGATGGGTTTGTTCAATTTGATCTGTTTTAGCAAGTGTAATTTATGTCGATGGCCTCAAAATCTGGTGCCAGAACTTCCCCAGAAAGTCAGAGGAAATTAATTGGAAGTCAGACAACAGAAGGAAATTTTCGTAGACCTTCACCTTTACAGATCACGAAGACCAGCAAATCAGAGCCAGTTACTCCAAAAAAACTGCCTAGGCATGTGCAACAAACTGCATCTAAGGAGGTTTCTGCACAAACCACCGAAGAGAAGAACTGCAAGATCCCTTATTTGAAGGAGTCTACCAAATCTTTAGCTGACCAGTTAGGTTCAACGTTATCACTTGGTGATGCAAAACAGGTGCCAGCTGATGTGTGTCCTGCGGTGAGTGACACCAGGAATTTGCTGGAAGGTGGTGATCAAGAAAAGAAAATATCAGAAAATGGAGTTAGCCCAGCTCCAGCGAAAGTCAGTGATGGGACCAGCAGTCTTGCCAAGACTAGTGGAAGTGCCAAAATTAGTGATCGAGGTGATTTTGTTGAGAGTGGGAAGAGCAGTATTTGTAGAGGTAGCACAAGCAGTGACGTGAGTGACGAGAGTACTTGTAGCAGCTTAAGTAGTGCTATCAACAAACCCCACAAGGCGAATGACATACATTGGGAAGCCATACAGGCAGTCCGAGCAAGGGATGGTGTTTTTGGTTTGGGCCATTTCAGACTTTTGAAGAAGTTGGGCTGTGGGGATATTGGAAGTGTTTATCTTTCAGAGTTGAGTGGGACAAAATGTTATTTTGCAATGAAGGTCATGGACAAAGCATCTTTAGCTAACCGTAAAAAACTTCTTCGGGCTCAGACTGAAAGAGAAATACTTCAATGTTTAGACCATCCCTTCCTTCCAACCCTATATACCCACTTCGAGACAGAGAAGTATTCTTGTCTGGTGATGGAGTTCTGCCCTGGAGGCGACTTGCACACACTTAGGCAGAGGCAACCAGGAAAGCATTTTACTGAACAAGCAGTGAAGTATGTATGCTGTCCATATTCAAATGATTTTGTTTGCTATTGTCAGTTTAAGCATGCGTGGTTTTTATATTTCTTTATTTTTGTTTTGACTTTCTTTTGTCACCCTGCTTCATTGGTTTATTGCTATGTCATTGTTAGGTGGAAACCAATAAGATTCATGATGTGGCATAAATGGTGTTTATTGTCTTGTTATTGAATGATCTGTACTCAATCATACGGTTTTTGCTAAATTATGCATAGACACATTTAATACCTATAATTGTAACTGAAACAAAATCGCTATTATGTAAAGAAATTTTTGCTGGGATCTACTACACTCAGTTTGGTCATGGTTTGCTTCCTGCTATTGTGATGTAGACCTTCTTTAATGTAAAACCACCAGTTTGCCTTTAGTAGTTGTAGAATGAATACGAAATCCCAAGCATGTTGATTTTTTTCTCAGTTACAACATTCAGTCCTGTATCATTTCATAGCAAAGAGACAATCTTGCTCTCTTGTGCTGTTATTTGACTTTGACGGTCGTTAGTGTTATATTTGTCCTCGAATATGCAGGTTCTATGTAGCAGAGGTTCTCCTTGCGCTGGAATATCTTCACATGCTCGGGATTGTTTATCGTGACCTCAAGCCAGAAAATGTCCTTGTGAGAGATGATGGGCACATAATGCTTTCCGACTTTGACCTTTCCCTGCGCTGTGCTGTCAGCCCAACCCTTGTCAAATCTTCCGCTCCTGAGTCTGAACCTTTTCGAAGGAACTCAGCTTATTGTGTGCAACCCGCCTGCATTGAGCCCTCTTGTATTCAGCCATCTTGTGTGGTGCCTACAACATGTTTCTCCCCTCGTTTCTTTTCAAGCAAATCCAAGAAAGACCGGAAACCCAAGAATGAAATTGGAAATCAAGTCAGACCATTACCAGAACTTATGGCTGAGCCAACCAATGCTCGCTCGATGTCATTTGTTGGGACCCATGAGTATTTGGCACCAGAAATTATCAAAGGTGAAGGGCATGGCAGTGCTGTTGATTGGTGGACTTTTGGGATCTTTCTGTATGAGCTGTTGTTTGGTAAGACTCCTTTCAAGGGATCAGGGAATCGAGCCACCCTGTTCAACGTGGTGGGTCAGCCATTGAGATTTCCAGAGACACCAGTGGTTAGCTTTTCAGCAAAGGATCTGATAAGGGGCCTACTAGTGAAAGAACCACAGAATAGGCTGGCATATAAGCGAGGAGCAACAGAGATTAAACAGCACCCCTTCTTTGAAGGTGTTAACTGGGCATTGATTCGATGTGCAAGCCCGCCTGATATTCCAAAACCAGTCGAGTTTGACCGGATTTCAGCCCCCACAGTCTCAACTAGTGATAAAGCTACTGTTGCTGCTTCTCATCCGGACCAAAACAATTATCTGGAATTCGATTTCTTTTAATTACTTACTGAACTGAAATGCCATTTCCATTTTGTTGAGAAAGATGTAGAGCTTCTGAAATGTTGATTTATGTGGAATTTAGGGTTTTCTTTTAACGTTGATAATGATCATATGTTTGGTGTTGTTATGAAACACAAATTTGTATTGCAGGTCATATGTTGATGCTGTTTCCAAAATGTGGATCCAGTTTCTATCTTTGATATGATAATAATAGTATATTTACAGTTATAATGTTGTGGTAAAACAACTAAAACCTATTTGGTATTTCATATTTCATGTGCCCATGCATGGTATTGTAACAAACTAGCTATTGTAAGTTTGTGATTATCTGCCCAAAGTATGTATAGGTTGTACATTTATCAGAAAGTGAACTCATAAGAACTCGCTTAAACTCAACTCCATTCCAGTCCAAGTCGAGCCCGAGCCCGAGCAATTAAACGAGGCAGGGAGAGAGGAAAATGGAAACCAGCTGCTGAAGTGTTCCTCCTCCAAACACCACACCCGAGCAATTAAACGAGGCAGGGAGAGAGGAAAATAGAAACCAGCTGCTGAACTGTTCCTCCTCCAAACACCACACACACACACACACCAATATTGATTTTGTGAAACTGAGACACACCAATATTGATTTTGTGAAACTGAATTTTGATGGATATACAAAGGAAATCCTAATGCTTGTTGGGCCTCTCTAGTTATGATGGTAAAATGTTGGGCTTCATGAGGTCTCACTTCAGTTGTCCAAGCTACCTAGTGTCTATAAGAAAATTCAAATAAATTTTCCAATGTAGCTATAATTTCATGAAGAGAATGTTGTAGCAAATTCACATTTGTTTTTGGTAAACTAAACTAAAATGCACATATTTGTAGAAAGCTATACATTATACATTGTTGACATGAATAAGATCTATGCAACATTTATGTCTAGAAAGCTTTACCAATAATTTATAAAAACAACAAATAATGATATTTCAAAGTCATGGGGACCAATATTACATTTTAAAAAGAGGAAAAAAAAGAAAAAAAGTTTGGGACCCATGGGAATTTGTCTGAAAATTGACAAGTAGAAAAATTGTGGGATAAGCTACAAAATTCAGCATCTATTCCATGTTTAATCATGGCTCACCATGTTTGTCTTGTTTGGTTGAGATTTAAACATGTCGCCAATAATTATTATTATTTTTAAATAAATGTAAAAGAGATTTAAAAATACAAATACCCAAAAAGAAAAATTGAGCTCTCCAGCTAATGGTTTAAAACGTTGAAATCTTTACAAATAAATGGATTTTAGAGGGTTTGGTCAAAAAATAGCAGCATTTTCAACCTTGATATTAATTTAATTTAATAAAATACTTACTTACCAACCAATCCACCAAGAGAGGCAACAGAGTCCCAGTCCTCTTTCATGCACATGGCTACTTCGTCGAATAGACTAAAGTATCTTACCAGCTTTGCATGTGTGCACATGTTGGATTTCAATAACCAGATGACCACTATTTTGGATTTTCATATATTCAGAGATTAAGAGATGACAAAGAGAGTCAACCATTTATCACACATGTATCTGAATTATTCATAAATATAAATAATAGTTTAAATTACTATATATTTATCCGGTATACGAGAAGACGAGTTCAAACTTAGGTATAAATGGGTACATTTATATTGACCAACTGGTATAATCCACGTCTACTCATAGTGTGTTGTTTTTTTTTATTGCGCCTAAGATCAATGAATTAGGGTTTTTTTCTTTTTCTCAAAGATGTGATGCACATGGTGGCGACCACCATTACCCAATTATTATGGATTAATTATTGGAGCATGAAAATATTTTCACCCCAAAAACACACATCCCGGTTTTAAATGGAAATTTTAATTTTGAGATGGGCTGGAATGGGTGAGACGTTTCTTGGATTCAAATCGAATTTTGTCAAATTTGAGTCTTCTCAAAGATGTGATGCACATGGTGGCGACCACCATTACCCAATTATTATGGATTAATTATTGGAGCATGAAAATATTTTCACCCCAAAAACACACATCCCGGTTTTAAATGGAAATTTTAATTTTGAGATGGGCTGGAATGGGTGAGACGTTTCTTGGATTCAAATCTTCATTCAATTCAAATCGAATTTTGTCAAATTTGAGTCTTTTATTATGACTTTTTCTCTCTGTCTTGAATTGTCGCCGCATGCCCCTCCATCAATTACGTTTCCGATTTTACAATCTAATGGGAAAATTATGGAAAAATATCTTTGATAAAAATTGCATTCGCTGTCAAAAGGAAATTATTTTGGTAATAAGTTGTTTTCTCGTTTTTACTAGATTGATCATCCGTAGAATTAATGGTGACTCTTCATAAACAAATTAATGGTTCTGATCCGGACTAATTGCGAAATTCATCACAATAGTAAAGTTCACTCATTTTATTTATTTATTAGAAATTAATACAATGCATTATATTTACAATTTTTTCATTCTACATAAAACTATAGCGTGTCTGACGTTATGTGTGTTCAACATATTATAGCCCTAACAAATTACATATACAATAAAATACAACACGTTTGTAATGGAGTGTCATGGGCAATAAAACATAACACACATGTATAAAATTCTACGACATTATAAATTATCTTATTAATACAATGCATTATATTTACAATTTTGTCATTCTACATAAAACTATAGCGTGTCCGACGTTATGTGTGTTCAACATATTATAGCCCTAACAAATTACATATACAATAAAATACAACACGTTTGTAATGGAGTGTCATGCGCAATAAAACATAACACACATATGTATAAAATTCTACGACATTATAAATTATCTTACATCTTATTTATACTTACGGATTTAAATCCTCTAATTTTTACAAATAGTAAGATTTTGTGAAGGGAAAGAAGATGATCTTGGATGTAAACTTGTGTATGCACTTTGTTTGTTAGGACGGTCAACGAGTTAAGCAGTTAACATTATGTTAGTAGATACGAAATCTGTCTAGAACCTTTTGGCTTTATCAACCTACTACCAGCACCAACTAGTTGGCACTTTGTTATGCCTTAATTCATCAATGAAATTTATGACCAAAGTAAAGTAGTTGCTTGATGATTTATTTTATCAACCCATTTCTGGTTTAACCTTATATTTTTTAATATAATGTATTCTTCTTTATTATTATTTTTTATTTTATAAATGTAAGCGATAGTCCAAACTACAAGGAATGAAGGTTTCTCATACACACAAGCAAAATGTCATGAAAATTTGAACCTGAGACGATCTTATCTGCAAATCTCCACTGTATTAGACCCCGGTTGACAACATTCATGAATTCTTCTATTTCTATATAGCCAGCTACCGGTAAAAATTATGAAATTTGGTACCGACAGTCATATTTTTGTTTTTATTTTGGTCAAAAGTCACATTTTTGTTTAAACACACAGATTATTATGAATTCACTTTATTGATAAAAATGTGAGTTCCAAACCAACCTGAACTAGACCATTCGATCAAATCGACAGATTTCATATGCCATCAAAAGAAACAAAAAAGTCTAGAAAAAAAAATATGGTTTGAAAATGAAGATACCAACAAACCACTCTCGTTAGTTTTTTTTTTTTTTCTTCGGAAGAAACCACTCTCGTTGGTTTAGATATGCTTCTTTTTCACATTCTTTCTATTTTTAACCACTCGTTTTATGAAAGAAAATAATATAAATATTTAACAAATGCCTTAAAAAAGCTTCAATCATAGGTAAGGTGCTCAGAAAAGCACCAGAGTTTTGAAAGGGACACCCCACCCCTCTCTCTCTCTCTCTCTCTCTCTCTCTCTCTTTCTCTCTCCAAAGTTTTCTCTACTACCTTTAAACTTCTCTCTTTCTTTCTCCCTAGATTTTGGTGAATCAGTTTTAGTTTTGTAATCTAGAGCACTGGAAAGTGAGGAGAGAGAGAGAGAGGATCAGAGTGAAAGTTGGTGCAAACCCAGTTTTGTATTTTTTTCATATTGTTCAGCTAAATTTGCGGTCTTATTGTTTCGATCACTGTAAAGGAACAGGAAGAGAAAATGGGTATTGCCAATAAGGAGGCGATCAAGCAATTTCAGTTGTTAATGGAAGAAGGTGAGCTTTAAATCCACTTGAAATATGTCTGATCCTCTTATTTGATCTATATTTGCTAATATTTCCTCTTTTCCTTTTGTTTTCTTTGAATTTACAGTTGATGAGCCATTGAAGAACACATTTGAGGTTAGACAGTGTCTCTTTAAGTTTTCTCGATCTGTTTTGTGTTTAAATGCTGGTCAAAAGATTGAACAACGAAGAGTTTGGAGTTCTTAAATTTTGTTACTTTAATGATCTGCAACATTAGAACACAAAATCCTTTACTCAACTGACGACGGTTTAATTGTTTAGATTATATATCAGTTTTGTGGATTTGATCTGAGTCTCTGATGTCATGCATTTTTGTTATTTCTTCTTTTTTGAGCTGGGTAAATCCATTTGTGAATTTAGATTAATTACCATGGAAGTTCATCTGCTATGAGGAGGGAAGGAAAGACTTGATCTTGTTTGCATTTTGGGGGGAGGAAACTTCATATCTTGCCTTTAGTGAGAGGAAAGTATTAGTGTTTTCTATGATCTTTGTATTGGATAGTAAAGTTAAAATCTTTGTGCACATATAGTATCAGGTTAATGCTCTGAATTGACGAACCTATTTTATTTTATAAGGGTGATTGACAAGTTAATTAACTGAACCGTACTGCATCTAATTGGGAAATGATGCACTTGTTTCTATTCTTGACTATGCATTACGAAGTCCTTTCTTTGCGTATTGCGGAAGGAAGGGGGAGGGGCTTGTACTTTCTAAGTTTTTTCAACTAATCAGCCGAAGAATGTTCTTTATTGCATCAGAGAGAGAGGCAAAGGATCCTAACCGAAAAAGAAAAAATGAGTAGAGAAAAAGAAAGCAAAAGGAAAATCAGAGAGATGGCATTGGCCAAGCTAAAGTTTTGAGAAAATATAGCATGGTTTTGAGGATTATTTTTGTTTTTCTTGGAATTCTCAAATCAAATAGGATAATTGTGCCCCTTTTTCTTCTGATGATTTACATAAATGAAATGC